TGAAATGATGTGTTCCAGAAATTCATACTGCAGCTTAAACTGTGTGTAGCTGCCAGCAGCCTTGTTACAGTGCCGATTGCATGGATCGTTTCTGACCTCCTTGTCACTGTTGGTAATAGGACAGTGGGGTAGATGGACCTCTGAGCTGAGCCAATGCTGCTGTTCTTATGGGGAGTTCTTTACTTTTCTGTTTGTTTGAGGGGTTTCTCCTTTGGAATTGGGACAGTTTTTACTACATGGGTTTGGTTTTTGTTTTCTCTTCCTCCTGAAGAGTAAAGCCAAATTAGAATTTATCTTTACGGTACCATCATATACCTTGTACTGACAGAGAGAAAATAAAAGGGATGTACTTCTATTTTAGGATGCAGGAAAAAACTCTACAGAGGAAAAGAACAGGAATCAGCCAAGGATTTATATTTAATATAGATCCTAAAAATCTGTGTGCTACCATGCTCAGAGTTTAGGATGCATAGATTCCACAATAGTGACCAAACTGGGTCTGGGAGGAAGGGTGTGTGCTTGAGTGAGACAGAGGGGGAGAAATAGTACAAGGGTTTTTCTGGAAGATCTCTTAAATGCAGTATGGTACGAAAACCCGGCAAGTGTGCATTGTGATGTGTGGCTTGCATTTGTACAAAGGTTCAAAAAAAGACAGTACCTCTTAAACAGTTCACTTTCAGAATACTAATGTCCTCCCACAGGGCTCAGCCTCCTACTTTGAATTCAGGGACACAGCTGGCATGAACTTGAAGGACTGATTTTTTAATTATTTTTTTTTTTACTGGTTAGATGGCTGTACTACCTGAAGCAGCCTGAGCATTGAAGAGATGAGGGCAACAGGAGAATCATTCCTCAGAACAAATTAGTTTCTTGGTTGTAATATTTTGCTGCTCCCATGGACATGGTGTGGCAGGGAAAAAAATGGTTTCTGAAATACAGAAACATAACCCAGAGGTTTTTATGATATACCCTGTACTTTTTCTTGTTGCTGTGGCGTACATTGGTGCCTTATTTGCAAAAAATATTTTGGAAGTCTTTTTTTGCATACACAGGGAGAAGATCCAGTTCATTCGGACAGAGGGAACACCTGGGTTGGTGCGTTTATCCAGTGATGCAGACCTTGTCATGTTACTCAGGTAGGCACTGCTGCTTTCAATGCACATATGGAATATGCTATGGCAGCTGCTGAGGAGCCTTTCAAAGGGTAGTGTGTGCTGATTTAGTGACCTAATCATTTCCCCTTCCAGTACTTGGACTTGCAGCTGGGAGAGCTGCAAGTAAAGGGTCGGATTTTTTATTTTCATCATGTTCAGTTTCTAGGTGGTAGTTGGAGGTCATGTTTTCTCATAGGAGTGAGGGAATGTGATATTCTGTCTGAGGAAAGGCAAGTGCAAGAGCGCTGTGCTTGTGATTTACATGGGTTTGCCCAGACTATCTTTTATTGTCCTGTTGCATCCAGCTCTGACGTTTAGATAGGTGGTACAGTTTAGACCTCTTTGCAAGAATGTGCCTTCTGCTTCTTTAAGAATGCATCTGTTTAGTTCTGTGGTTTGGAAAGTCCCTGTTTGTGAACATTTATACTTGAGATGTTTTTTTATTACTTAATGTCTTGCTGCCTCTTCACTACGCTGTCAAGCATTGTCCCCTTTAATAAAGGAAATACTATTACAGAGTTCAAGAAATGGGAAGCTGCTTCTTTAATATTTTTTTATATAAGCAATTAACTCAAAAAATCAGGCAGTTTTTTTGCTAGAAATAAACCCTTGTATCTTGATGCTATATTCTCATCCATTGTAAAAGTGCATCAAGAAATTCATGAGTACATTTAAAATTTAATCTAGTGAAATAGGATTGGCATTAGTAGTAGTATTTTGAGGTCAGGTTGCATAATGATAATCCTCTCTGGTCCCTAAATCTCTGAATTAATTACAGCTATAAAAAAAATCTCATTTTAAAGCCATGCTAAAGGTTTTTTGAAACGTGAATTTTGCTTCTTAAAAAACCTTTTAAGATTTTTGTTTTGGTATATAACGCATGGAGATGACAGATTTTGCATAGAAAAATCTGGCTTCGGCTATTTGGTTTTAAATAAAGATTGCATGAATGATTTTATCATTGCTTTTTGACTGGGTTTTGTTCCCTCTAGTGTTCTGTTAACAGTTAAGACTGCAAATAATTCTTTTATTTATATATCCACATATATATATATAAAGAATATAAATGTATATAAAGCAAATTTAAAATTTTGATTGCAATCTTTATTTTGTAGAAAAACAATAATCAGTGTAACTAATTTTTAAGAGAAAAGTAGTAGCCACTGCCTGCCTAGAATAATTTTATCATATTCTTCAGATTTTATTTCTCTTAATCTACTTTTTTGCCCCCAAAAATATCTGACTGAAAAATGTTGCTTGAGGATTTTCTTCCCATTTTATTAATAATCTAATAGTACTATTGCCCTGAGGACATATTATTGATAAAATGTTATCTATGCATCCATTAGTTTCTTAATGTTGGATGTTAAACCTCAAGAGTGGACTGATATCATCATTTCAACTCTTAATTAAATCCAAGATTGAAATAGTGGTTTATATTTTATCATATTTTCAGCATCAAAATGTAACTTGGAGGAAAACAGCACATGGTCGTGAGTGTAAAAAGAACTTCCAGAAAATACCCATTCCAAAAAAAAATCTCATGCAAAAAATTTTTCTAGGTATTTGTTCAGTGAACAAACATAGTAAGAAACATCTTTTATTTGAACATTGCTTTCATCGGCTGAACTCTCTAGTAAAAGATTGGCGTGTGATTCTTTCTGTATTGCGTTTTTTTAAAAGAATTTTTACTTATCTCAACAGTTTATTCTTATCTGTGTTGTGTTTAACATCCAACATAGGCCTTGATATCAGATCCATTCTGGTATTAGATACTCTGTCGCTTTTTGGATTTGCTTGTGTCAAATTTGGGAAAAGACTGAAATTTTAATACACGTACAGACTGTACGTACACAGATGCAGTGATTAGGCTGCAAAATGTTTATTGTTTTTCTCTTAAAAGTTGTGTAGCAATAATAGATGAGGCATGAAATAACTCAACCTGAACAGACTAGATGTGATACCCGTTTCAGCAACAGTGTTAGCATTAAAGATAAAATAAAGAAGTAACTTATGCCAACAAGCTTACTATTTAATACACTCAACAAGTTCAGATGTGATTCTTAATCCTGGAGGCTTAGAATGTTTGTCTCTGTTTGTCTCTGTTCCTGGTCTTTGTGCAGTTTTGCAGATCTTTTTCCAGGAAAGTGTGACTAAGGTTATTGACCCCTTTGTAATGAGAACACAAGTTAAAAAAAAAAAAAAAAAAATTAAAGGCCGATTAACTATATTTTAACCTTGAAAACATACCACGTTATGTATAATGATGTCCCATAAAAGTAGTAATTAGTCTTTCCAGTACTTTCAAGATCTGATTGAGGGAATGGCAATAGAATATTTTGTAGCACTCTAAGTGTGTATAGTAGAAATAGGCAAGTGACTACCAAAGGAAGTGGGGTTAATAACTAGGATTTATTCCTAGAAAATGAAAAAAGCCATTCATTCAAATAAGCATGTTATTTCTTCTTTGGTCCTTTTTACCAGCTTGTTTGAGGAGGAGATAATGTCATATGTGCCGCCACATGCCTTACTTCATCCTAGTTATTGCCAGTCCCCAAGAGGCTCGCCAGTGTCTTCTCCTCAGAACTCTCCAGGTAAGTTGCTCAGGCGCAGCTTCTGCAGGGGCTGTATGAAACCATATCTTATACTTGGTAAGGACCAGTTCCAGATCAGTGAAGTCAGTAGTGCATTCCTGCTGCCTTCCCAGAAGTCAGAGAACAAAAACAATAGAAAATTTGTTTGACTATAATTTTTTGTTTGCTTTCCAAATTGAAATCCACGGCAGCCTAAAGCCAAGAAACTACTATTCGGAAACTATAACCTATTCCCCTTTGTGGTTCCCAGCTTTTAGATGGATAAAGTTACATGAGCTGAAGCACATTCTGAGTGGTCAGTGAGCTTGTCACTGCAGTACTTTCATTATGATGGTATCTGTAGGACCCTGCAGTAGAGCTAGTCCCATAATTTAGTTTACATTATGCTGCATGTAATGACTTTCCACCTTTCTGAAGATCCAAGTTCTGTTGCTCCAGCAACAACAAAGATTTAGTCCTATTTTTGAGCAAAGTCAACAAGCGTGACTGCATTTGACTGTCAAACTTGAACCTTTGCCTTGGGCTCACAAGATATTTTGCTGGTAGAAAAGATTGGTGTATTACAGCTTCAGAGGTTGTGATTTTGTTCTGACTTGTAAAACATGCAAACTTGGTTTTCACTGATGTGGAACAACTAAGTGACTGCTTATGCCAGGATCCTGATGTCTAGAGAATTAAAAATACGAGCTGTAATAACTGTATATTAAAATGCTAGTGTTAATGGGGCTGTGGGGCAATGAGTGACAATTTTATGTAAAGCCAGATTGTTGTCCCTTAACATGAGTTCAAAAGATAGCATATTGCAGCTGTCTGGAAATACATGTCAGAATGGAATGAAATTGCTATTTCACATATTAACTAAGTTGCGGATCAGAACTAAATTGTTTCAAGTACGACAAGTTCCATTTGACCTCTGAAGGCTAAGTACAGCAATTTGAAGTTTATAGATGTCACTGTTCTTAGTTTTCTCAAGGGGATATTAGGTAAGTAAAATAAAATCACTGCAGTAAATTGGAAGTGGCTTAAGGGGATTTCTACAAATTTGAGAACAAAAGTATAGATAAATAGAGAACATTTGGGATGTAAGCAACTCTAGGTAGCTGCAGACAACAAGAAAATTTTATCAGAAAAAGTACTGTGATTTTTATGGGCATTTTCCAGTCCACAATCATAAAAAGCTTTGCCTTTTCAAGAAACCAGATTAAAACCATTCATAAACATGTCCTGAGTGGTAGCTTTTCCTGCAGCTGGACATAGGACCTATTTGAAAAAAACTATCCAAAGACCTTAATGGTCATATGGCATTCTGCAAAGTAGCAAAATAAAATATTCACATGTATTGATATTTTCAATACATATATGGTTTAGGTATAACTGTTTCCCTTTGCTGAAAACAAAGGAAAACTGAAATCTGCATGTATGCATCTTATTTCCAACTGCAAACCTGGCAGTCTTTTATAAGTAAAAATAGTTTTAGCTTTCAGAGTTACAATTTCTTCATTACTAGTACACGCACCAAAGCATGCTGGGCAGGCCTTCACTCCAACAAAGTAATTTTAAGGTGCATCGTGATATTCTCATCTATTCCTCAAAGAAGTAGCACATAGTTAAGGATGAACAGTGATGGTTTTACTCCTGTTCTCCTTAAAATTGTAATCTCTATTCTATTTCATACAAAAATATAAAGACACCATTGAATTTCCCTGTCAGTCTGCAAGTGTGCATGTTTGTGTTGGTGTACAAATGACTTTTTTGATGAGAAACTGTAAATAGCCCATCATTTCTATGGAGGCTCTGTGTTTTTTCATCAGCTAAACTGGCTGTGCTGCACTGTACGAGGTTGCAGTTAAGGATCCATTGTTCAGATCAGTCACAATTGGTTGTACTTTCTCTTTTGGGAAAGATGAATAAACATGAAGCCACTCTTTATATCTGCTTTAGAATATAACCTCTTTGAAAATCAAATATGATTATCACATCACTGATGGTTTTTAGCTCTTCCATTAACATCTTTTGTTCCCAAGGCGGAAGTAATCACTATAATTGCCCAGGAATTTCTTGGCATATGCATTTGATTTGCAATGAGGACTTGTCATGTGCTGACAAAATAATATACTGCTGATTTCTGAACCATGAAGTAATGTGTTATCAGATTTAATGTTCTGTGGTATCTCTCAGCAAACACTTCCTTCAGGGGTTAAGATTAAAGTATGCTTCTGTTGCATTTTTTTGGTGACTACATTTTTGTACCTACTTTGACCCAAAGCAAAATAAACAAAGTAGGAGGAAAAGGCCAATAATTAAAAGGCTGTTTACAGTTTCAAGTTTCTGTAATTTTTCTAGAGAATTCAGCTGAGTGTACCATTAGAAGCCCTTGGTGCTCTCAGTAAAAGAGGATAATCACTATAGATTAATCAATGGCCATGATTTGTTTTTCCAGAGAGGTCCTGAATGTTCCTATGTTGGAGCTCTGAGGATTCCCTGACACATTCTATTCCTCCCACACATCACTCTCAGCCTAGAACAAGTGGCAAGTGTCTGTCTGGTCAGACAGGTCTTTTGAAGACCTGTAAATGGCATTCAGTGTTAATACTGATCTCACTTGTTCTCTCTCCCATCTCTGCAGAGAGATCGACTCTGCAGCTTCTTCCAGCAGCCACTTCCGCAGGATGTGCTTGTCGCCTTTTCCGTCAGACCCATATGTTTTGTGGCTAACCAAGCCGCTCTCTTTTCCCCTGGTCTCTGCGCACAGGCTGAACGGACACGCGTTCTCTCTCTTTCATAACCTGAAACATTACGTTCTCATGCCTTCACCCATAGTAGCAATAAATGTTTCTGTATTGGCTTAGCGTCATACAGAGAGCCAAAAGAAAACTCACATAAGGAACTGATTGTCACTTAAAAGACAGAAGTCTACATATACATGCTTCTGAACTCTTCATTTGTATTTCCAGTGCATTACAGGCCTGTTAGGTGACCACCAGTTGCAGATAAGTAGTAGGCAACCTATGTATACTAGAGGGCGGGAGAAATTTTAAAAGTCTTCTGAGTTTTTTGTGGGGGATGTTTACACAGCCATGCAGGGGAGGAATTTAACGTTCTAAAAACTAGGGGTGAGAAGATGAATGTAAAAGGGCTAGGATTAACTGCCTCTTTGGCACGCTGTCTTGCAATTGAAGTAATATATCCAGGGAGGCAGTGGAAGTTCTAATGGTTGTAATATTGAGAATAGATAGACTAGACAGCTAATTTGTATATAGTAGACTTGTACATGCAGATGTGGTGTTATGCCATTTTTTTTGGTGTACAGATCTCATCTCTCCCTGCTTTTAAGAAACTGACCCTCAAAAGCAGTTTTCAAAAAGAAATGCACTTAGATGACCATCACGTATGTCCCACAAACTTAAATTTGGTAGTCTTCCCATTCTTCCAATATTTTCTTCCTTTTACTTCCCCAAGGAAAAACTTCTACTAGGGAATTTCCAGAAGTCTTCCTTCTTCAGTGTGATGTATTCAGGAGGGGCACAGCAGAGTACAGTCTGTTTATGCTTCATTTCTGAGTACTTGTTTTTCCTGAAATTATTAAAACCAGAACAGAGCAGAACATTCATTACATGAGCTATTTTAAAGGTTAGACATAAAGTGTACTTGACAAAAAAAGTTAAGTCTTTCCAGTTGATCGTGCTGGTTTTTTTAATCCATCTTTTGCATTGACCTGGATTTGCTCTTTTAAGACTTACTTTAGAAAGATGATACTATTGGAAATGAGCAACCAAAAAGTCTTGGATGCAGAGCAGATTTGAAGATATGCAGCTTTTACTTTTTATAAAGGTGACTAAACCAAACATGCCTTTAGCTATTAAGGAGCCTTTTCAGTAGAGGATGGGACATTAATCAGTTCACGTCACTACAGCTCATTCTTTGCGTATTGCTTCCTGCAGGTACTCAGCGTGCCAATGCCCGAGCTCCAGCTCCTTACAAAAGAGATTTTGAAGCTAAGCTGAGAAACTTTTACAGGAAGTTGGAGACTAAAGGATATGGACAAGGCCCAGGGAAACTGAAGTATGTTGAAGAATCTCATGAAACTGGGTTTGTTTCTCAGGCAGCTTGCCTTGCCTTGCACGTCTACAAGCTTCTTCCCATTAGAAGGAATGCAGATGTTATGGTTACCCTTGCACTTCAGGAAATATAAAGCCTGTCATAAACGACTTAGTGCCAGCATGTGATTCATAGCAGAGGATACAGCAAGTTCTGAGCACTTCTTTTCTGTGTTTCCTCCAACTATATTTTCATACAAACAGTATTACCAATACAGTGCCAAAAAGCCCTTTGGGAAGAAGCATGCAAAACAGGAGGCATCTGAATTCTTCCATTATAGCAATTGTTGCAATCTAAACAGTTATATTTTCTCATGTCTTTTTCCATCAGAAAAACTAGATAGGCTTATGTTTTGTACATCATTGCCTGTATAGATATCACAGTCCCCTTTAGCAAAAAGGACTCATAAAATTAAATGTTATTAAATTCTAAGGATCGCCTTAAAAAACTGCTAGTACTTTTACTTCAGCACTCTGAATGCTAGAGTGCTTGAGTGATATCTTCCCTCCCATGTGATTACATACTGTTATGTTAAGGATCATCATCATAAGATACTTCCATTATTTTGTAAATTACCAAGTCTTATGCCAGCTATCAAACTATCATAGTTTGATGCTCTCATAGTAGCCATTAGGCACTAGAACTTTTTTTTAACCATTTCTTCTATTAGAATAGGGGGTAGGTTTTTTGTTGTTTGTTTTTTTGTTTTTATTTCCCCCAGCCAGTCACTTCTCACATTTTGCAGGATTTTGTGCAGAGTTGAGACTGCATTTATGTGAGCTTGTTAAAAGTTTTCCACAACTGAAATGGGATTAATATGGTATTGTTTAGACAGTCTTAAGAGGCAGGGGTTGGACATTGTCTGCCTATAATGTAATGAAATCGTAAACACTTAAAGCTTAATCTATGAAAGTTTTGTCATGAAGGTTTGGGCAAATAGCTAATAGAAGAGGATGGCATTTGCTACCTGTAAGATCCATTACATTTCTTACATGTTTTTGTCCTGGCCTATTTGCCATCACGCTGTGGATTCTTAAGCAGAACAACAGCTTGATTTTTGAACAGAAGTTTTCTCTGGGTTCTTTTCCCAGGCATACACTGACCTGCTGCTTTTTTTTCAACTCGCGTACTGCCTGGGTCCTCTTGTTTCCCAGGTGTCTTGCCAGTTCCTGGCCTTTCCAATCCTGTGTCCTTTCCAGGATAGCACAGTGCCATCACTGACTATCTCTGCACAAATAGTAAGGCCAGCAAGGGCTTTGCAAGAGGCTGTGTGACGTGGTAAGCTGCCTCTCTGGGGGCAGCAGCAGCTCCCAGCTTCCGTCTGACTGACAGATCAAATGCACACATAAGGCAGTATTTGAATATAAAGCAAGCTAAGTTTCAGGAAACTAATTAAACACAGTTTTTTTGGCAGAAGATAAAATGTTTAAGTAAGGAGGATTCTTCTGCCTCTTACTTTAGATCTTTATGACACTTCCTTACTTTCAAAATTTTTCTTTTAGAAGGGATATTATGTTTTCACATGTGATTTTTCAGTCTGGTTTTGGACAAACAATTGCCATTCCTTCTATACTTTTTGTCCCGTCACACTTACACTGGACATAGTGTAGGAATGTGTGATTCTGGAGTTACCATTCGGTGAGTTTCTCATGGTTTTATCTTTTTCCTTGTTAAGAGATTGATTTTTACATAAAAGGTTAGATTCTTGCTTACAGTAAGACTGATTCAGAGGCCCAGCCTTACAAAAGGATTTTAAACTTAATGAAAACACCCACTTCAGGACCTTTCCCACTGAAACCTTTAATTTAAGGAAGAACCAGGGTAGCAAAAATAAAACTACACTTCTTTGTACAAGAGACATTTTATTGAAATCTAAAGTAGATCTTTCAGGGAGACAGACTGAAGCTTCCTGATCTGGATCAAATTACCCAGCAGAAGCGTGTATCTCTATGAAGTCACCCTGTTACCTTGCAGTGTAAATAGATGTTTCCAACTGTGGTTCATGTTCACAAATTACTGTTTCAAAATTATTTTGCTCTTCAGATTAATCATCAGGAGAGATCACTTGCTAGAAGATGCCTTTAACCAGATCATGGGCTACTCAAGAAAAGACCTGCAGAGAAATAAACTCTATGTCACGTTTGTTGGGGAAGAAGGGTGAGTAGAACAGGGAAGTAAATGTGATCTCAAAACTCAGTGTGTCTTGCAGCTGCTGTTTCACCAAACTTCTTGTGGTCTAGAGTGAAAAGAGGAAGGATTACAGTCAGGAAATGCCACATACATAAGCCTAGAACATACAGCTGTTCAAGATGACTTTTTAGGCATTGTGAAATGTAACGTATCCTGCCTTTGCAGAAGTAATGCATATGTTTATGTGAATTTTCACAATAGTTGGTGTGCATTTCAGAATGTTGCTGGGAAAACAAAGAAAAACCAAACAACTTTCTTGTGTTATTCATATTTCTTTTCTGTCAGTGCTGACGTTATATTTCCAGTGCTTGTTAAAAGACAGTTGCCATTTGTTGGAGGGAGGGTGCTTCAAGAGTAGGCTAGAGGCTCAATCCTTATTTCAACTCCCGTCTGAGGCAGTGGGACCTGAAGACCCTCAGTGCTACAGGAGGTGCTCACTGCCTCTTCAGGCCAGGGCCTGCGTCACAAAGAAAAGCAACTAGGCTATTGCTAGTTGTCAAATAAACACAAATATTCCTGACATTTCAAAGTCATGTCAGAGAATGCTCAGTCTGTGTCTAATAAAAGTCTAACCTGTTACAGGTTGCGAGATGTGCATTGCAAAGCAAGATGTGGTTAGATTTTCTTTGCAACTGAAACTGGAACAATGTACTATGTGCCTGTTTCATCTCTTGATTTGTGCCCCCTTTGTCAGACCTTAAAGCCCTACTACCTTATGCACAGATACTTTTATTGATGTATTTCATGAATGTATTTGTAAATACATTCAAAATTTTATTCCTTGATGTTTAGTAAACTGCAGCACGCAGCTCTTGGAATGCTGTAGTGTGCATTATTGCCATGTGATGCATGAGTCTTTAGTGAAGTTGTAACAGAAAAATCTCACACAAGATTAGATAAAATCAATCTGTCTTTGAAAACCCCTAAATCCTGCTGTTTTTTTAAAGTTCACCCTAAAGTGCTTAGTGTTAATAAGGACTCACTGAAGTCTTAAAATAAAAAATGTTTACAGCTGAGAGCCAAGTGTGGACTTGTTCATATAAATAATATCACCATGCTGTCTGAGGAAAAACTCAGAACTGGAATGACAAGGCTGGTGCAGGATGAGATTACACTATATTGACAGAGCAGGGTGGGGATGCAGGAATGAGGCCTGTCTTATATGGCCCTACCAGCCTTTACTTTCACAGCTACAACCTCAACTCAGATTTTAAAATGAAAGGGAAAATTTTAAAATCATACGTGAGATAGAGATTGATCCAGATAGACTGTCTCCTTTCATCAGATGTCAGGCTTTTGCATTTCATCACTCAGTACAGCAAGATGAAGAGTGACCTGGAAATGGGGGTGACACATGCTGTTCCCATTATATCCAGCTTTACACAAGACTCTCTTCTTAATGGAAAAGAATGAGTTAATTAAGAGCAAAGTCAAATTAAAATGACGTCAATTCTCTATTTACAAATCTGTGTTTTGAATGAAGAAAGAATGTGTGCAAGCAGTATTGTTTCATCTGAGATGGTGCAAGGATATGTATCACATCAAACTATTCATTTGGCTAGGTGTAGAAAGACAGGTCAGGGTGGAGGAGAGGAGGACAATGATGATGAGGAGTACTACTGAAAGTTAATTGTTTCCTATTTGCTCCTCCTTTTCCTTTTTTAAGTTTTTAAGTGGGAGTTTGCCCTTGCATTTCTTTTCCTCTCAGTAAAGAGGTGCAAGTCTTAAAGTAATGGGTAATGAAATCTTCACAAAATATTTTAGTAACTATTGATTTATTAGTGTATAAATTAGTAAGTGGAGCAACTGAGACATAGTTAATTGCTGTTCATATGATTTTTATCATAAGTCTCATAATATTTGGTATCTTCCTTGAACCTTCAATTTCTACAGTCATGCAGTTGTGATGCTAATTTAATGTTTTAACATTCATACTTCATGTGATGATAAATGAAGAAAATTTTCATCCAAAGAATATGGTTCCTTAAAGTTATTTTCCCTAAGTTCTATTAACTATTAGCAGAAGCTGCTTTGTATTTAAGAGTGGTAAATCTGAAGTATTAATGATGCTTCCTAGGAGACATGAATCATGTTGCCAACAACATATTACTCTACTCCTGAATACCAAAATGCCCCACAGTTGCAGCTGTTGTGTGGTTGCATACCTCTTGTATGAAGTTTTCTCACCCTTGTGCCAAGCCTTTAATTGTGGGATAAATCTGACTGGCAGTGCAGGACTCTCATGATTGATTTATTTAACATGACTCACAGTAACTCTGCGTACAAAAGGAGTTGTATGAAATGGCTGGTAGTCAAGCACACAGTTGCTATTCTATCTTAAGATTTCATAGTCAGTCTGATTATCCCAGAAATTTGCAAGACTCTTCCAGATGACCCTTTATTTGATCCTGATATTTGTGCCAAGATTAAGATCCAACAATTGTCCATGATATCAAACCATTTTGGTTTGTGTTTTTGGTTTTTTTTTTTCCTGCAATTTGAGGATGGAATCTATCCTTCTTGCCAGGGTAAAGATCTGTTTCAGTGCTTTGCTTCTGAAGCTTAACAGAAGCAAAGTGCTTCCAAATGACTGAAGGGAAAATGTTTTTCATTCAACAGAGGGAAGAGGCTTTGTCCTCAGCTTGATAATGGTACCTAGCCTTTTCTTTCCTGATGACTTCATCCTCAAAAACAACTCTTATCTATGTTTGTCTTTTGTAAAAGTTCATGAGCCGGAACATTAGTAGCAGAAGTCCTATGTGAAAGCTGACCTTCTCTGTGATACTTCTGTCTGTGCGCTGTTTTAGTACTAAAGCAAGACCTTCTTAAAAGTCAAGTATGAAATCTTCATCTTTATATCTGTTTGTTAGGATTGTAATAATCTCTGTTTCCCACAGGAAAATACCTAGTTTTCTGTTTTCCAGCTCTACCAGAGCATTAACTTCATACTTAACTCATTTCACTGGTGACCTGCAGCATAATGTCAAAATTCAGTCTCAGTGCTTTGTCAGCAGTGAGTTTGTTTATGATTCAGGAAGAAGGGGTTATTTAGATTCCTTGTTCATTAGTACTGGAATCTTGAAAGAGCAAAAAAACCCAAAACACCAAAAACAAAAAAAACCCCCCAAAAACCCAAAGGAAATGCACTCTCCAAAAGACATTTAAATGCACTCAAGTTTGGAATACAGACAAGAAAATTTAGACTAAGAAAGATAAATCACTGAAGTAATCTCAGATTATATTGCTAGGGAAACCAGAAATATATCCTTCAAATTGTCCTATTGTTGCAAGTCTGCAAAGACAAAATAAGATCATTGTTCATTTTCATTCTTAATTTGTCAGCTGCATATAGGTCTAATGTTGGCTCTTTTCATGTTTCCCCCCCCCCCCCTCCCCCGCCCCCAATTATTTGGTTATATTCCTGTGGCAAAGAGGCCATTACAGCTGGAGCCAAAATTTTTTATGAGAGCAGCCCGCATAGAGCACTTCATTCCAGTCCTCCAAGCCATTCCATTTCAGAATAGCCCCACAAGGACTTCACATACCTTGGCATTAAGCAATCTGCAGGATAAGGGTTCTGGTTAAAATCTTGCAAAATTTTAATTAAAATATAGCATAAGGAATGTAGATTCAAAAAAGCCTTTCTTTGCACACAATGAACACTTCATAGTAATGTCAAGTTTCCCTTTAAAGGTTGGACTACAGTGGACCTTCAAGGGAGTTTTTTTTCCTGGTGTCTAGAGAGCTCTTCAATCCGTATTATGGTTTGTTTGAATATTCAGCCAACGATACCTATACAGTACAAATAAGTCCCATGTCTGCTTTTGTAGACAATCATCATGAGTGGTAAGAATTCTTTTTTGTTTTGTCTTTCAGATATGTTTTCTGTTGTTCCCACTTGTAGACAACTGCTCATATCTGCTCAGACATATAACACAGAACCTCATCTTTTTAACCAACAGCAAAATAATTGCATTTCTTTAGACTTTCCTGATTTTTTTTTCGCTTGTGGTTTTAAATGATCTTATTTCTCACAAGGTCAGCAAAACTATGATTTGGAATATGTACCATGGGATTGTCTCACAACGCAACTCTCTGCATTTCTTGTACGTTAGCAGTCATTTCATGAAAGCAATATTAGCCTCTTGTGCATTAAATAAAATGAATGAAAAATTGGCTTTTTGTCAGGTAAAGGAGATTAAGGGAGATTTCAAACAGGTCTTACTGTATGCTACTTGTTTACATCTTTCTAAAGAGTACAGAGGTCTCCTTAGTGGAAACCCACTATATCTATTGGAAGGAAATCTGTGGATGTATCTAATTTGTGGGTGGGCGGGAGACTGCTGATTACATAGCTCTTAAGCAAAGCCTGTACATACACACATACTTCTAAAATAGTTATCAAGGATTTTTACATAATCCTGTTTTTGCAATTATAAGCCAGTTTAAATCACCCTCGGTTGATTTTTAAGCCATGGCATCGCCGTAAGTCTGTAAAGCTGTGCTGTGAATATTAACAGAGAATTCTGTTGTGTAGGTAGTTAGATTACAGTAATAGTGGAATGTCAGCTGCTCATCTGTGTAGCAAGGATATGTACTGAGTTCTTACTTATTGGAAGCCAGTTATGAAGAATGAATATCAGAAATTAATCTCATTAGTAGCTTCAAAAATTAATAGAAAATTAAATGGTTGGCTGCACCCAGTTCAGTTAGTTAGATGAAGCAACCTACCTGTTGAACTACAATAGTGCAACAATAAGTGGCACATGCTGTATTGAAAAAGCAGAACAGTCTTGGAAAAGGGGGAGAAAAAGCTTTACGTGCTCTGCAGCTTCTGCCAATATTTTGTATTCATTCCTGGCTTCTGCAGTGCCGGACCAGAGACCTTGGGGGTGAGGGAGGTGTGATCGCCTCTCTTTCTGGGAGTGCTGATGCCAGTGACAGCACTGGTCTTGTACAGCCTCAGGGGGAATTTAGAAAATGCAGCAGTGACTAGCATGGAAGGAGAAGGCTCTGCATGCCACATCCTCATCTTGCGAACTCTGTGTGCAGGCAGGTACAATAAAGCCCTAATCTCTCCAAGAAAAATGTTGCTGAGGATGCATAAACAGAAAGTTTAAGAAACATTATTTTCCTTGAAAAAGAGCACTAGACTTAAATCTAGTTCGAGAGACATGGAGGACTTTTCACAATGGATCTTTATTCTCATGGGGATGTTTGCAAAGACCCTACTATTTCAAAGTTGCTGCCATCTGATCTCAAATCTGTCAAACTCCCTCCCTCCCCCCCAACCCTCCTTACACACCTTCCAAAATGAACATAATAGGGGTAGAAAGAGGGGAGAGGAGGCGATCATTTAGATCCCATTGGCATGGGGCTGGAGAGCACTGCAATACGTAAAAAAGTTTCCAGCCACTCTTCGTGAAAATATATACAGAACTCCATACTCACCAGTCAGAAGAGGGAGCAAGGAGCCGCTGTAAGCAGAAAAGACAGGCAGCAAGAACTGTCAGGCTGGGAAAGGGTAGAAAAACCTTTGGCCTCCCAGTAACATGAGAACAAGTTAATCCTATATGAGGTGTGTAAAGAAAATAGACAGTGGCTATCATTTTAGAAGATATGCTTCTATGAATAGGCTAGTCTGGCAGGGCTTGATTGGGTTAATATGGATTTGACGTTTTTGAGAAGTTACAACTTAGGTATCTGAGGGATTTTCCACACCCTGTAGAGTTGCATTTTTTTCTGTGCACTACTAAGAATGTAAAAGAAACACAAGGAAAAAAAAAACAAAAAAACAAAAATACCACAATTTAGACATAGCTATCTGATTTTAAAATGCTGTTTGGAAATACATGTAAGTTTTGATGACAGAGCAGCGTACAAACCACAAAGTTTCAGTATAACGATTGTAACTGTTTCTCTTCCAGGTTCAGGTTTAGTGGTCGAATTCTTGGTCTTGCTCTGATACATCAGTATTTGCTAGATGCCTTTTTTACACGACCCTTTTATAAAGCCCTCCTCCGAATGTGAGTAGAATTGTTCTGTCTCCTTTTCTATTTCGTTTCTTCCCCATGGACGATGCTATTTTGTGTATGGATAAATTGTGATGTTTTATCATCAAAGATGCTAGGCCATTATTTATAATATAATCATTTAATTTCAATTCAGGACTTTTTTTGAAAGTTTACTTGTTTCCGCTTATGGTTACTAGCCAGTTACCTAATAACTCAAAATGTTGTCTCTTGTCAGCGTGAAAACCTCATGGTTTGTTTTAGCCATGTTATCAGCTTTCTTCTACAAAATCTTACATTTGAAGTTGTACAATGAAATGCTGTGGTTTTATTCCAGATATTAATAGAGTTCTTATTGCTTTGTTTTGTAATGACTCACAGGATAGGATATGAATCACTTTGTAACTTAGACTGCAAAAACCCTTTCTCAGAGGTAGCCTGGTTGTTAGCAATCTCCATTTTGAGGAGCTGTATTTTGATATACTTTAGATTTTGTTTTCAGAACTACTACGCCTGTTCTGGCTTGAAACAAGAGCTGCACTTGCTCAGCATGTCTGGAATTTAAGACCTAGTGAACTTAAGATGCTTCATTTTTGTCCTCCATTTGAAAGCTGTTTTTGAGAAGTCTGGAAGGATATTTCTTCTATAAAACATCATACATTCTAGTAGTGTGGAGTAATGCATCCATTCCTATTGCACTTATATTTTAAAAGTACCTAAATGCTAACAGCATCATTTTAATAAGAATGAGCACTTACTCCAGATGCACTTACTAATATTGTGTGACTGCCAAATTAAACTAATTGTTTAACTTGGTGGTTCTCTAAACAGTGACATGAAAAATGAGGGGCAACCACCTTTGTACATGGCCTAATTCATGCGACTTCGTCACCTAAGCCCTGGACCTTTGCTTTCCTCAGAACTTATGAATCATCCAGACTACCTCTGCAGATGGGACATTGTGCCCAATCCATCAACTTTGATGTAGGGGGTGTTACCGCAGGATGTCACTTAAACTACAATTGAGAGTCCAGTTAAAAGTACAGGGCTTTCTTCTGACTTTATACGGACACAAGAATAGAAGGCATTTGGGAACTACTTAGAGAGAGGTGGCTGCAGCATCATTTGTAGCTTTAGATATATAAAAAGGCAGAGAACCCTGGAGCTGAAAAGCACCTTACTTAATGAATAGCCCCAGTGTCCTATTTCACACAACAGGAATTTAAGGAGTTAAGAAGAATGGCAGAAATTGCCACCATGGTGTTAAATTTTATTAACAGATGACATGTTCGAAGCTTGGAGTAGTAACTCTTAAATACCGCAAGGGGCGGTTGGATTTGTAAAAGAAGGACCATGTAAGGGGAAACATGGCAAAAGGTAAAAAGATATTTCTGTGGTAAGCAGGGTATCTGAACAGACTTCTTTGCACAACGATGAGACGAGAGAGGTGTCAGTGTAGTCACATAAGCAAGAAGCATAGTAGTTGCTTTTTATAAAAACTTGCCATTTCTTTTATGATTTTAATTTTTTGTCTCTTCAATCTATGTATTTTCATAGTTCCAAAATATTCTTCACAGGAAACATGGGACAGACTCACCATAAGTTTAAAAAGCAATATGTTTTCAAATTAATAAGTTCTGAATTGTGTATATTAACAAAATTATTTTGTGTTATACAGTAACTGTTATTATAAGGCAAATAGAGATTTGAAGTAGTGTTGTCTTTATTCTATTGATTCTTCTCTTGACTCCCATTCTCAGTCTGTTTTTCAGGACTGTCCTATCTGAGTTTCGTTACTGAGCACATGCTACTGCCGTCATCTGTATTTGTGTGTTTTCTTCTTGTTTATGTTAGACTCTGTGACCTGAGTGACCTAGAATACCTCGATGAGGAGTTTCACCAGAGTTTGCAGTGGATGAAAGACAATGATATACATGATATCCTAGATCTCACATTTACTGTAAATGAAGAAGTTTTTGGGCAGGTGTGCAAGATTCTTAATTTAATTTCTTTTGTGTATTCTACTGTTAGATAAACATTTATTTGGACAGAACAGTGACTGTCATTCCATGCTGATTTGAACTTGTTATTATAAAATTCGGTTGATGAAAACAATGTTGAAATGTAAGAAGGAATTATTATTTGTAACTGGTCAAACACATCTTTCTGGTTAAGGATTTTCTGGAGAGTATCTGAAATACCAAAATTTTGGATTGCTCTGCTGGAAGTAGTTACTTGAATTTAATTGCAGCAGAATTAGCATTCAAAGGTAATACAATACCTTTGTTAGGATATTATTTAGAAGACTTCACTACTTTAGTCACTGTAAAGGTTGTTTCTTCTTGGCTTATTCTTCATACTAAATATGAAGATTCTTCAGACTAAATGGGATTTTAAATATGATTTTAGCCAAAAAAAAAAAAAGATTTGTTGTATGTTCTGTTATTTCACATATTCCAGTTGGCTAAAGTCAGCCTTGGCTAGTGCTTTTGAGGAATTACTTCAACTTCAAAAAAAAAAATTATTACAATTTTTTCTTTTGTCCTTATAATACTGTGTTGTCACTTGGTCATTTTTTGCCTAAGATCACAGAACGGGAACTAAAGCCAGGAGGTGCCAACATCCCAGTCACTGAAAAGAACAAGAAAGAATATATAGAAAGAATGGTGAAATGGAGAATTGAGAGAGGAGTTGTACAACAAACAGAAAGTCTAGTGCGTGGTTTTTATGAGGTAAAAAATTCCAAAATTAAATTTATCCTTTATCCTCCCCAAATATTTTTCTCTTCATGCACATTTCCCAAATACAGAGTCCCAAAAAGCAGATAAATATATAATCAGAAGTGCCCTTACAGATATCTGGGAGGGAGGAGTGTGGAATTTTTGTTAGTCGTTGACTTAACACTATAGTTATATATCGTCTTTAAACTAGAAAATAATACCGATCACTATTTGTATGATTAGCAGTGAATGCTTGCTAAAGTGACCCATCTGTTTCTTCACTTGGCCTTTGAGGTTTTTTGTGTGCGTGCCGTACTCAGTGTAACACAATAGACTGAGTGTACTTCAAGGTATTTCTCTCTTACCTGTTTTAACATGGACAATTAAATTGAATGTATTGAACTTGATTTGTCCTGAAATAATTCAGTATTATTTGCCAATAAAATTCTTCCCCAATCACTGTGATCCTCTAATGAAACTGAATGGAACTGCACTGTAAGAAAAAGACGTCCATTTATTTGTCTTTAAAAAGAAAAAAACGTTAATTCTTTCCATTCGTGAGAGAAATGTTACCTGATAAATGTCTTAGTAGCAGAGAAGTCTTTTATGGGGAGGCAAAAATCAATAAATGAAGAAATGTTGCTACACATTTTATTTCCTTTCACAGGTGGTTGATGCGAGGCTCGTGTCTGTATTTGATGCCAGAGAACTGGAACTGGTTATAGCTGGAACAGCAGAAATTGACTTGAGTGACTGGAGAAATAATACAGAGTATAGAGGAGGTAACCTTAATTTTGAATTGTTCACTGACAGTGTTGGGGGGCCTGGAATTACCCAGTTTCTAAGACACTGAAGAACTGTCCCATGAGATACATCTTCAGTATCTTCTGAACTTCTGTGGCTAAGTTTGCATTAGAAGAAAGTAATTTGTCCATTTTCGTTTGCCTCATTGCTTCCCCATGCAGCTCTTCCCTTACTGTTCTTGTCTGGACAGCATAACAAAACAGTCTTCTCCACAGAAAGTACTGTGTTCACCTGCACACTAGTAGAGTACCACCCAGCCACTGGAGACAAATGGAAATGGGAACCATTCTTAGTAGGATCTACCTCTTTCCCACTCTCAAAGAAGACAGGAAATTAGAAGTAATCCCAGTGACTGCAGGCTGGCAGTTGAGATAATTTGAGAACAGTGGAAGATTTGGGAGCTACTTAGAGAGAGGTGGTTGCAGCATCATTTGTAGCTTTAGATATGTAAAAAGCACAGCATTGGAATATTTCCAGAATTGGCATTCCTATTAGTGATTGATAATGGAACAAGTTCTTGCAAAAGAGATTTCACTCCTTTTTATCACAGTAAATTAATTCTCTGCCTTTAAGATTTTTAGGCATTTTAGAAGTATTCTTTTCACACCTTCTGTCTTTTGCTGCAATTGGCTAAGAAATATGGCATTATTGTGACTGGGACGGAACTAGGAAGAACTTATTAACTATTCTCTCAACCACTTTTGTAGCACCTAAAGGTATAAAGGCTCTTTTGTTTTAACAGGTTATCATGACAATCACATTGTAATTCGGTGGTTCTGGGCTGCTGTGGAAAGGTTCAACAATGAACAACGACTAAGACTTTTACAGGTGAGATCAGCTGATCTGTGTAGAAATAGTGTGCATCGTTAAAATTAGATGCTAAACTAGTCCCATCCAGGTGTATGACATCCAAAAATGATGCTGATGCTGGCTAGTGGGAATAACCTGACAATCCTCAGAGGTTAACTGTAATAATTTGAAGTGACTGAAGCTCACAGCTATTTTTATAGATTTCTAAGTTAAAAAATACATTTAAGATAAAGTATCTGATGTCAATAATCCTTTACTATTGCTTGATTAAAAGTACATTAAGACTAGTAAAGATAGAAAAGGAAAACTGTGTAATTGGTTATATCATTAGGTAGAAATTTTAATAATATTTGTACAGCTTAGGAAAGGAGAAAGCTTAGATGGAAGTTAAAGTGCCTCAAATTAGAAAATAAAGATGAAAACCTGAAAACTGGTCTAATTCCATTTTCACTAAGTCAGCCTGCAGAATCCAGTCATCATGCTGATGAAGGACAAAAACCTCTCAACAGAGGAATATTTATACATGTGGGTTTACTATTGAGTTAATTTTTTTAAAATTCAGGTTATGTCTATTGTATCTGTAAAGAATCAGACAAATCCCCACCCCAAACAATACCATGTTCTTGATCTATTATGAAATCCACTTTTTCTAACAATTCAGAGTTTGCATCTGATCATTGAGTTACCTGTATGAGTATGGTGAAGGATTTTCTTTTTTTATCTCTTCAAGTACTTAAAAAAGGTCTGTAAAAAGCAGTGTGGGACATCTCATTTGATGGAGAGCCAGAGATATCCGCTTATATCTTCTATCACATCTGTAGTCAAAAGTTTTTATCATATCCAGATCATTAAAAATTAAGAAGCCTCTGATCTGTCAAAACCCAGGTTTGATCTGTTCATGACAGGTTCTAAGTCTTCTCAACAGACAGCATTTCAGCAAATGTCAGTGGGCATTCTACCTAACCTTCAGAATTTAGTCCTTTTCTTATAGTATTTAATAATACTTTATAAAGATATTGAAATCCACATAGGCAAAAAGGCATAACACGAAGCCATTATCATACATTATTACTTTTTTATTAGTTCCTCTTAATACAGAATAGAGACAGTAGGGAAAAACTCACTTAGCCCTGAGTTGATATTAATAGTGTTTTATTCTATAGTATTTATGTAGCATAATTACTCCTTCAAAGAGAAACCTTTGAAGGAAATTGATCTGTTGAGTTTTCTCTTCTAGAGCCCTATTAGGAAATGGTCTGTTTTCCCTTATCCTCCATTTAAAGTACCTTTTATCACTTATGCCTCACAAATTTCCTTTTTTTGCAAATGCTTTAACGTAAACATTTGGACTTGAGCGGGTTTGCTGATATAAATAAATTTCTAACCTGCACCGTCTGTGTATCCAATATCTGTGATGTTTTGTTTGCCCTGGCAGTTTGTTACAGGCACGTCCAGCATACCTTATGAAGGATTTGCCTCTCTACGGGGGAGCAATGGTCCAAGAAGGTTCTGCGTAGAGAAGTGGGGGAAGATCACTGCTCTTCCAAGGTACAACTGTGTGTGTATTAATGCTACAGATACTTTAGAATATCAGTTACCGGGATAACAGATAAGCTGTTTGAGAAACACAAACAAGTTATAACTGAATATGCAAATGTACTATGGCTTACATGAAAATTCCTTGTTCCAGTGTGCGATCCACCCATTCTTCTTTGAACTCAGTTTTGTTCTTGTAAGATGGACAAGGCAGTGTAACCGTGGCTGACATCGATATTCTAATGCTTTTTTCATGGAAAATTATATTAGAATGATAACTACTTCTGAATTTGGTTTTGTTGCATTTGGTTAAATGCACAAGTATTTACTTACTGAACATGCAGTTCATCACTTAGGAGCAAAAATGAATATGAATTAAAATTAAATAGCACTTGTGACTGTGTCTTGAGTGAAAGCTAGTATCAGACTTTTTGCATTAGACACACACAGCCTTTATGGTATAGTTTAGTGATGTAATTTTTATGCTGTCTGATGTCAAGAGTGTTAACAAATACACAAGATGCAAGTTATGAACTGCAGAAGAGGTGTATTTTGAGGAGGGGGTCATTTGACTTCAGATGCAGCACAGGTACAAGAGAAGGTGAAGATTTCAAAGAGAACAAGTAGGGTCAATTGAAATATGTGAAGAGGGTAAAGGAATAGTATGAGAGTCCAAGATACGAAAGTAGGAGTTGAGTTGTACAAGCCCTTGCAGACAAGAGGCAGCATTTAAATTGGGTAATGGTAGGTTTGGAGGAGTAGGATGAGAAGGTTAAAAAAAAAAAAAAAGTTGCGTTCCTAAATTTTCCATTTCGTAAAGACAGGAGAAAGGGTTGTTTTCAAAGATCCATGGTAACAATACCAGCACTAGACTAATAACATGAGTGATGCAAGAAAAATCTTCCAGCATGGACACTTCACTGACAAAAAATGACAGGTTCTAGTCTTTTTCTATATTGTGATCAGGCTGATATGTTTCTGGAAGATTTCCTTTCATCCAGTTCTAGAATTCCGCAGCCTCTAGAATGGGTTAAGAGTGGTTAGACACAGATTAGTGTGCGGAGTGCGGGTGAACTAACTGTACGTAATCAGATCTCAGCTTTAGTATGCTGCTTGTAGCCTGTGGTGGTAGCTTTGGGCTGGGCTGATCCATGGAGGATACTCAACCCTAATCCTAGCCCATTCCTCATAAACAAGATGCCTCAGGAATAATTTGCATTCAGAGTCTCTTTTTAGACGCAAGGCAGCTGTCAGACACACAGAGTGTTTCTCTGACCAACAACCCTTAGCTTTTTCCTCCAGCATAAAGTCAGAAGCAGAGCCGTCTCTTGGGTTGGCTCCTGCCTGCAGGCTGCCATGTGAACCGCACTGAGAAAGTCAAAGATGCAGAAGTGGCACTGTGAAATCCACAGGCACAGCAGGCGGCCTTTAAACAAAGCCATCTTTCCAGTTTACAGTACAAATGAGAGCCAGGCAACTGAGGATTAAAGATAAGCAAATTCTGGAAATTGCTATTTCAAATCAAATACTCTTAATATCTTTTGGTAGCTTCGTAATATCTTGTAGCCTGATAAGTTTATTTTATAGTTTGATTATGATTGACCTATGGAATAGCTTTGATTCTGCATAAAAAGAAAAAGCTTTGATTTTTAAAAAATAATTTCTGACTTCAAAATACAACATTTTCTTCTGAGTTTAAATAAGAAAAGAGATTGTGGGAGTTTTTCCATATCTTCTCTAATACTGGAATTCCTGGTGCTAACAAGCACAGCTTGCAGCATGGAAAAGGTCAGGACATGCCAGAACAGGATGCTCAGAATTTCCTCTGAAAAGGTTACACAGAGCCCTGGTTGTAATAAACTGCAGAATAAAACTGCTTCCTGTAGTGCAACATGGAGAAACGTGTCAAGAATCTTTGCTACCGTAGGGTGTTCAGCAAGCATAGGGAAAATGCCAACTCTTCACATTTGGGAGAATGTATCATGCCCTTGAAATTTCATTTATGATTCCCTTGGTTAGGAAACATTTGATTTTTGTCTCTGTGGATAGTTTTTAACATACAAGGGTGAGAATTAAAATAAACCAACACCACACTTGTTTTGTTAAAATAAAAACAACTGTGTATGACAAACATCTACAGTTGTCAAGAACTGGCAATTCCTGACATTCATGCATGGGGAGCCTTGATCTCATTAAAAAAAAAAGATTTGCCATGTTTATGCTTAAATGGGCTAAGCCCTAAGCAGAAAGCAGTATTTGCATTTTTACATATCTAGTTCCTGCATGCAGTTTAAGTTCAGCCTGCATCTCACCAGCTTCAAAGACTTGCTGTGCAAACACCAAGTAGTACTGGCTGGGAGGTAAGACATTGTTAACAACGACCCGGAGTAGCAAACTTTCAAGAGGCTTCCAAACAAGCCCTGCCTGTGTAAACACATTGCTGGACCTGCTGCGAATACTGCCCTAGGACTCCATGACTCTTAGTGATTCTCAGATAACTAAAGCATTTGTGTTAAGGCACAGTCACTCACTCATAGCAGTGTTACGCTTTGCAGATTGCCCTTTTGATTTCAGTGGGAGTGCTAGTGAAATTTAATATTTGGTGTGAGGGTGGCAAAAGCTAGGACTCAACAAGTCAGTGGACTTTATGTTTCTTCCACTGTTTCTAAAAACCTACTGCACTGCTGAAAACACGTAAGAATACCCATCCCCATCTCTTCTTCCCAATTCTGAGACACAGAAAGCAACTAATATAGTTAACTTGGGTATGTGATTGTGGTCTAAGCAGCTGTGATATAAACACAAAAGTATTCACTAGATGTTTACCTAGTTCTCACTGTTCTGACTGCTGTGTAATCAATTCTGCTGCATCAGAATAGTGAGATTTCTGAGAGGTACATGTGAGGTTGCTTAGCTTGTATCACTGTCTTTTACACTAATAAGTCGGTAGCATGTAAAAGGCCCTGAAAAGATTGTTTATTACAGGTTTAGCTTAACTATTGCTATCCCTGAAGCCACTTCTACTTCCTTCTTTTGCACTGTGTTGTAGATTACACTAAATCAGCAGAGGGACTGCTACTCTTTCAATTCACTTACATGCTGAGAAATTGGTTCCAGGTTCATTTGCTGTACATGATATATATGTGCTTGTGATGATTCACATGCGAGTAGTATTTATGTCTTGACTGCTGGATTTTAACCCTAAGTCACTCTGTTTTACTACTGTACTCAAAATGAAGGGGAGATTAATTGGGAACCAAGATGGTTTTTCATGTCATCATAAAATGTGAGTCTGGGAAGATGAACAGTTAGTGCCCATGTGGTTTGAAATGTTGGAATGGGAAAATACTGTCCAGAAGCAAAAAAAACCTTTCTTCTTGAAGACTCACAAAGTTGCTTGCTAGGGTGAGAAAAGTATGCATTCCCTCAGAAGACAAAGATCTTAAGTTTTTGTCTTTTTTAATGACTTGGTTTTCCGAAGTAGGTGATTGCATTTTCAAAATTGCCCTCAAAATTAAGATAAAACTCAGTTCTCTTCATAAATGTAAACAACATGCCAGCTTACTATTAAACCAGTTTGTAATGAATCCCTTGCTAATTATATACTACGTCTTTTATAACTTGCGGTTTTACAGCCCACACAGCATGATCCATAGTTCTAATGAGTGGCTGTCAGCCTCATGCAGCAGAAGCATGTGGTTAGACTGTTAATTGCCTAAGATTCTTCCACACTCGACACTGAACTCAAGGGATCACTGAGTTTCAGTTGCCCGTTTGCTGCTGGATCTAAATCAGTCTTTCTTCAAAAGGGATTTTTTTTTTTTTTAAAGTACTCTGCAGGAAATGCACTAATTTATTCTATATCACAGATACTACTTTGTAAGGTTTTTGGAAAGGCAAACGAGGAGTACAAAGAAAGCTTTCCTCCAGGAGCGTTAGAATGGCTGGGTGGAGAAGTTTTACCAGGCCCCTGGAATATTGGGTGGGGAAATGCCTTTGCTGCTATACAGCATATACTAGCAGTATACTTCTAAGCGTACTGTATTTGGGGAGGGTGCATCAATGCTTTTTTAAGTGATTGCATATTTGATGATTGGACTGTGTTTATAATAATAGTGTGGCCTTCTGTACTGTGTACACATTTCTTCAACCTGGTATTTTGAAGACACTCTAAGGCTGTAACTGAGTGTATCAGCTTCAATGAGGGTTTTAAATGGACTCATATGTTTCTAACAAACGAGATTAACCCACTTCACTTCATGTTCCATCCCCATAGCTGGGAGCTGAGAGCCACTTAAAATGGCAATTAATGAATTTGCTCCCATGGAAGGCAGCAATTTCTGGCTCAGAGGAAGTTTGGTACAGGTCTGTTGTAGACATTCAGATTTCTGGGAGTGGTTAGGTTAAACGAGCTGCATTTGCTGCGAGGAGGGAGCTTGTTCAGTCCTTCCACTGACGTTGTTACACATTTACACTTAATATGGATCATACTGATGAAGAGCAGATCACTGCAGGAAAAGTTTGTTTTTCAGCTGGATTGTATTTAAATAAATCTGCGATGTGTTTTATTGCAAAAGAATAAAGTATTTGTAAACAGACACCTGCCAAAATCCAAAATGGTTTCCATCCTCTAAAATGAGTCTGAAGTGAGACTTTGTTACAAAGCTTCAGAGCTGAAAAGATGCCTCCTCCAGTTTCTCTTTGCATCTCGTTCTCAAGAACCCATTGCATTAATAGTTACGCTATCTATTTCACTAGAGCAGGCTCGTCCACTATAGTGTTTTAGAAAGTATTATCCTTAGCCTGCCCAGAGGTCAGGCAATGATACCCATTATTCTACTACAAGGAGAAACCTTTATTATCTCCCTTTTCATTCCCTGGAAGAGTTTTTGAGAGTCAGTTCCAAGTGTGTCAGAAATCTGAGGTAGATGGATTTTGAAAACTGAGAAATGAACCACGTGGTTGTCCTCCTAAGAAAGCAGGGTGGTATGGTAGAGGTACATGCATAGTTTTCTGTAATTGCAAATAGTATTATTCTAAAGATTGTTGGTTTGCAGGGCCAGATATCCACATAGTGTAAATCAGCACAAGCAGTAACTTCCCAAGAACACGATCCAGATGCCAAAGAAGTGTAAAAGGAGAAGCATCTAATTTGTCTGTCCTTTACTACTGTGGGATTGTTTCCTGTATATCTAGAGTATTTTTTAATATTTCATCACATCTAATACCTTATGCATATTCAATGTACTGAAATATCTTGTTCGTGATTACAAATACAGTATCAAGTATCTTCAGTACAGAAAAAAATACTACTTCTCAGAAGATATATTTAAAGCCAAGATTTCAGAACAGACTATTTGAATTGTACCACGCTATATCATTCTTTTCTCATGCATATTTAATAGATAAAATTTATCCCACTCCTTTTGGGCTGTCAGTGTGTTTCTAAAGACCTTCATAAATGCTTCTTATTGGCTTACTTTAATTAGAAGAAAGTAGATTAAACATCAATTCAGTGTTCAATTGGAAAACATCATTTGACAGAACAAAGTCTTCTGAAAGAATACTATCTGCCCATCTCTACACAAGCACATACCAGTCTGTGTGTTCTCTTTTGAACTTTTTAAATAATGTACTTCTTCACCTCCTCTTTTTTTCCCCCCCTCAGGGCTCACACTTGTTTCAATCGTCTGGACCTTCCCCCTTATCCATCATTCTCTATGTTATATGAAAAACTGTTGACAGCAGTTGAGGAGACAAGTACTTTTGGACTTGAGTGATACACAAGCCACAGTGCCCAGCTCATTGGACTCTTGTGGATCTGTCTTCTTAAGAAATGAATGAACGTTTGTATTGGATTTCCTAGAGGAAAATTGTTTCACAGTGCAATTCAAATAATGAGGTTCCATCAAAGAGCTTATGAAGCAATTAAAGAGCATTGTGGTAGTGGCAGATTTCTCTGCAGTGAAACTTGAGTGTGCCTGATGTGCAGGGAAAACCAAGTCTTGCAATCCATGGTTTTTCAGGACAGCCAAACTTCTTAAGTTTATGTTCTGAGTAAACAAGAAACATGATCCCATGTTGTGATCAACCTGGCTACCGCAAAACTGACATGTACCCAAAAACTGGATTTCAGCAAAGTTGTTGAATAGAAAATTCAAGTCAAAATATGAAATCATTCAGCCCCTTACCTACCCAGTAAATTATCAAAAAAATTGTACAATAGATTTTTTTTTTTTAATTCATGAAGGTACATTACTTTATGCCATATGTTATAATAGCATATCCAGTACTTGCTTTATCTAAGACTACGAGTGCCTGCATGGTGTGTACCATAGAGCTCAAGTTCCTGGGGCAGAAGTGAATTGGAAGGAAAGTCAGCAACAAAGGATGTAACAACAACGGCATGCAATTAAGGAGGTTTGTGGAAATGTGTTTGCCAGTGGTGTGTATGACAAAAGATGAGCTGTTATAATGAACTTAACTTAATAAGACTGATTTTATGCTTTATACTGCATGGAAACTATTTTAAGAAGAAACTAGCAATTTATCACAGCATATCAGGAAAAAAAATCCTAACACAGTGACTTCTGTTTATTTTTATAGGTTCATTATATTATGTTTCTTAGAGTATAAACAGGAGATAAGCAAACTAAAATGCTATTTCTGTTTTTGTCACTTTCCATGCTTGAACAGACATTCTGCTAGTGTTTATTCTTTAAGCACTCTCAAGGGGAAAAAACGCCTTTTATTTTTGTAAGAGTAAAAAACTCCCCAAAATATTTTGCACTGAATGTACCAAAGTTGAAGGGACATTATGATCTGACTGATAGCAAACTGCATCACTAAGAAGTATCTATAAAAACACTTAGGAACCAGGCTTTCTTCACGGTGCCATGTCTATAGGTATCAGGACTGTGCACATAAGTAATAATTTTATAATACTATATGTGATATTGTAATATGCATTTATTTTAAATGCATCTGGGTCATTTTTCATGCATTGGATAACTGAATGCAATGGAGTTTAATACAGATATTTCATATGCTCCCCACAACTTTTTATTTGTACAGCACCATAAAAAACTAGCTCATTTGGAAACCCATGAATAACCTACTTTAAGGTGAGCCACTGGTCATAATGCCACTGTCCCATATCAGTGAACACCTACAAGATGTAAATTGTTCATAGTGTCTAAGCTTGCATTTTCACTGATAAATAGTTTTCTTATCAAATGTTATTTGAAAGAGTTTTTATGGCATATCAAACACTGCATGGACACCAATTTCTTTGTTTAATTTTGCTGAAACACACGAGGCTTGCTCGCATCTATTTTTGGTACTTTCCTCCAGATGGTCTTGTGGAACACTTGTGCAGCTGTGTGCCGTTTCTTGTACAGCTGCTGTCACGCAGTGCATCCACCACATTTTAAAATTCCAGGAAGTTGCACTTGGATACTGGATGACAAGAACATGAATCTAGCTTTGCACTAGCCCTCTTGATAGCACTGAAGCACAGCAAGCCCTGTTCCGTGGGAGAAGTAGCTTTTGAAGTAACGTTCTCACTTTGGAGACTCTTGAAAGGGCATCTCAGGGAGGTATCCTGCTTGTTCTTGTGAGCGTTTTTTTTCCAATGAAGGTGAACGTCTACGGAGATGTCATCAGCAGAGACTGCCACTCCACCTTCCAAGTCAGAAGGCAGGTACAGCTGTGGTGGTGGCAGCAAAGACTGAGAAAACCCTTCAGGCCCACTGAGAAAATGTTACCTGTGCAAAGGAAAACCCATTTGCAAAATCAGAGTGAAAGCATTCTTTTATTTCAGGAAGAATTGAGCTTCTGCATGACATCTGGGACTCGCTTAAGTAACATAGGTTGTCTTACACTACTTCTGGCTGGTATGAAGTAGCAAAGAAAAATCCAAACGTGTCACCTTATTTTTACACATATATTTATCAGTCTTTGCTAAGATTGCATGTCACAGATCCTAATGACATCTTTTTTTCAGAACATGAATGAGCAGTAGGCAAACTGACTTTTCATCAGGTCACTCCAGCATGGCTCATGTTTCATATGATTCATTCACTGAGTAGCTAAAACTCTGGCACTTAAAGCAGAATGCAAGTTCTGATTGGTTGAAGGACTGCAGAATTTTGATTTTACAATACTGTGTTATCTGTGGTCTAAAAAGGAGATTTCCCAGGTGGAAACTGTATCTACAAGTTTTGAACCAGAAACTCTTTGGAATGAAAAGTTTAAATATTTGGCAAAAAGTAAGTTTATACTAGTCTGCCTTTTAAGTTATGCTTTTGTACAAAACAAACAATAAATGCATCTTGCCAATTTTTATTTAAATATATCTACTGCACACATTTGTTCTGTATTTATGCATGTAAAAATAATTGAAATCAGCCACGATGACTAGTCCAGTATTCTGTAACGATGCGACAGGGTCACCAGTGGGGCAGCTGTCAGTTTAAAAAAAAAAAAAAAAAGATTTAAAAAATCCGTAGTCCTTGTAGCATTAAGACCAAGAGAGACTGAGGAGAAGCTGCTGCTTCCTCCTTTGCTGCCAACATCACTCGGGGGACTCTAGAAAAATGCTTTTTGGAAGTGATGAGGAGTTAGCTGCCCAGATATGGCTACCTGTGGTGCCTCGAGCACTTGGCTGGCTCTTTGTGATGATACAAGCGATGCTGCTGCTCTGAAGAGATTACCAAGGAGGGAGTATAGGAAAGGAAGCCTGAGCTTTCTCAAATACCCACATCTCCTGGCTACTGCTTGGAATATTCTCCCTTCGGTGTGGGAAGCCGTTCCCATTAAACATGTCCCAAGTGAAAGCTGACTTTCATGTCCTGCAGATGACTGCAACAGGCGACCATGGTGCTTTTGCTTATGATGTGCTGTGGCAGGCACGAGGGTCCAGATAAAGACTGAGAAGCCTTTCTGAAAGCTCTGTATCTCCTCAGAACTCTTCCAGATGGTGCTAAGGAGCTTTGCATTTAGGGAGGGAAAAAAAGCCAGTCAACTTGAAGTAGACAAAAGATTCCCTTCAGCTACAGTGTGATGACAGCTCGTACTAACTTAACCTACAGCATCTCCATCAGATGGAGCCTTCTGGGGGGTCCCTGCAAGAGTTAAAGTGAGGTGCCCATGGAGCCACGCATTGCTAGCCAAAAAGCAGCTCGCAGGTCCTTGCAGCCCGCCTGGCCAGCTGCTACCTCTGTCACACCGTCAGCCGCACCTTGCAGGGTAACATGGGAAAGCCTTCTTTCAATCCACAATAAAATCCAATTTAACACGCAATCCTGCTGACCAGAAGCGAATCTTTTCCCCCACCACCCACTGTTTTTCCTTAGTGTTCATCAAATAATTGCCTTTTTTGGTTTTAAACATAATTTTCATGATCCTTGTAGTGAAGCTACCATAAAAAGGTGTTAATATAGCTTAGAGAGTATCTAGGGTGAAATCCATCTGTGTACAGAGGCCTGCTGGGCACCACATAAACTCCACATTGAAGCAGTTAACCTCGGGTCATACAGGGTACGGTTAATATATGTAATCTTCGGGGAAACTGAAAATCTAGGCAGCAGCATGCTGGCAGGACATCAGACAAAGTTTCTGGCATGAGTTAAACTGGCAGAGCACTGGACTGGTAGTTTGCAGTTTGCTCAGTTTAAAATTATAGGAAGGAAAAGAGTTTTGTGGTGTCTTATATATTTTTAATCTTTTTAAAAGTTAAAAAAAAAGCTTCCTTCTGAAGCATTCATAATGGTATCTGGTTGCTAAATGTTATCTCAGGAGTATTAATTGCAGATGTTTACTGAATTTCTGCAGTGGTAGCTGCAGACATTTATGGAGATACTTGCAAGCACACGGTCTCTGGACTGAGGGAATTCCTGTTCACAAAAAGGGAATCTGCAGCAGCTGTGTTTGAATAGCCAGTGTAAGTTCATTTCCCGTAGCATAAAGCAAGTTAATTCTTTTCAGCAAATGAAACTTATTTGTGTTAAATTATACTAATAGTTATGTTTTTCTTGCCACTGTTTTTATGTGGAGGGGTAATTTATTCCTGTTAGCACTAATGGGAATTGAGCAAAAGTTTGGTCTCCAGTTGTAAGATTATAGACTTAGCTTTAATGTTAACCTTACAGTATTAATACTCAACTGTCACTGCTGTTTCCTCTTCTCATCCTTTCCTCCCTGGGCAAGCAAATTGAACTCCAGGCAAAATTTCAGAATAATTACTCAAACCTGGCTTCTTAAACAATTTGCATTTTGGCTTAATTATGTGGTACAAAACAGAACTGCAGAAATGTTATGGGTTGACTAGCTCACCAATTGCAAGTAGAAAATCCTTTACAATTTTATTAGCACGACGACAGCAGCTGCTGTTGGACTAGTCTAACTTTTTACCTAAATATTTTACAATAAAAAAAGAGTTTAGGAGGTTGAATTTGAAATTGCTTGTTTGCTGGAAAAATAAATATACATTAGGTAAATAGTCGGGGAAAAGAAGAACTTTACTGTAAAGCCAGTAAGGCTAAAAGCCTTTTTACACCCCATTTTTGTTAGCAGTATGCAAAATTATAAAGCCGACCATATAAACACACAGTTTTCACAGTGTGTGTTGGTTTATGTTTTGCATTTCTTTCAAATAGTCCACGAGCTTCATAGTGCTTCTGTTCAGTTTCAGACTGACTAGTTTCAGCACCAGGCTGCTACTATTTAGAATGTTCATTGCTATGAAAAGTTTTTTATTCAAACGTTTCTAGTATTTTCT